TAGATATAACAGCCTAAGTGGAACAGTGTCACTCAAAGATGCAAGAGGCAAGAGGCACACCACCCTTTCTTCTTTTCAGTTAATCTATAGAATATAAAATTCTTCCTTAAAAAAATCTCTGAACACACACCAAATATTTGCATCTTATATCCTAATATAGTTTAACTGGGGCAAAGAAAACAGAAGATTACAGAATGTAATGGATCTAGGCAAGAATCTGGCTCACAAAATTTATCTTGCAAATTTCTGAAGGTCTCTGTCCTTCCTAGGTAATGACAGTTGTATTCCCTGTGCTAGAAGTGATATGCTCAGATGTTCAAAATGATAATGCCCTGTGTAATTGCCAATGTTCCTTGTATTTAATACATCAAAAAGCATATATAGTGATTTTAAAACCAACCAGTGATCTCATTTACACTGATATAATTTCACTGAAGTCAACATAGTTTTCTGTGTGTCTGAGAGTAAAATTCAGGCTAATTAAGCTTTGGTGCAATTAACTTTAGTGATCAGAGATTAGAATTTCTTGTATTTTGTGTTCCAGATCTTATTGTCAGAGGCAGTTTGAAATCTCTAACATTTCCTCACCTCAGTAAGCTTTCCTGGACCAATGCATACAGTCATTGATCGTTTCCCTTGGTTTGTTAAGAAATGTTACATAACCAAAATTAAATAAAAAGAGGATGCTTGAGCAATATATTTTTCTGTTCACCAGCTTTTAGGGCAACATTCAGCAGATAATACACTGATCACAGACATCACTATGCTGCTTGTAGTAAGAGAGAAAATCCTAGGAAGGCTTCCTTCATTTTCAGTGTATTGTATTTGTTGAAAAGAAATCCGAACAAACTTAGACATAAAACTTCATATTTAATGCATTTCTTAAAATTTTCTCCACTCTTGCTGAAATTACATGAAACTAGACAACTTTAAAACCCTGCCTCTGACAAAGAGAACTAGTCTTTGCTAGACCTTAACTGAAGCATGCACAGCCTGTATCGATTTGTAACTGTAGCATACATTTTAATGGCTTCACATGCTTTATAATCTCTTCCAGATTAGCTAATTCCCCAAAATCTACAGATTATGACTATTAATTTTAGATGACTATTCTTCTTAACAGAAATATTTGTGCTAATGGTACAATTAACTCACATAAACAAAACTATATCCAATCTTACATAAACATGGAAAACAAATATTTAGTGTACTTATTAACAATGTTCCAATGCAAATGCAGGGCTGACTAATGTTTTTACATAAACATCATTCTGTTGCATACTAATAAAGGCTATGGAGCAACTGTGAAAAAACAGCTAGAGTGAAGGTTATTTTTTTAAGATGGAAAATTCAAGGGTATTCCTATCTTGCTTTACATAGGTTTCCTGGTTGCAGTGTTTTGACACTGGATAGGAGTTGTGGTATGCTACTGGAGTGTAGTAATGAAAAATGCATTAAGTCTTACCACACAAGCTGTGTGTGGACTAATCTACACCAAAAGGTTAAGGAAATTACTTAGATTCCGGGTGACAGATATGTTCAGTGAATAGCCTCAAGAGCCTAAAGCCCGCAGAGTTAGGATAAAACTGATGTATAATAGCTCAGTGCTGCATATTATTGTAGTAGTACTGAAACAAAATGTCATTAGGAAAAGATCAACATCCCTGTAATTTATATCTGAGAACAACAAAGTGAGATCTGGAAACAGTTCATATTCAGTAGAGGTAGATCCAAGATGTGTAGACACTTAAGGAGACACTTAAGGAGTTTTGGTGAGCTGTTGTGCAGGGCTGGGGGGTAAGTGCTGACCCAGCCTGCAACAGTTTACCAAAACTCCCTACGTGGCCCACGGGCCCAAATAATTGCCCACTCCTGAATTAGACCCTAGTACATATGGGGTGCCTTGCTCTGGGACAGAGGCATAGGCAGTTTATTGAGTGCCTAGGTCAGGGGGGAGGGAGGATGATCCCTACCACTATAGACAATTTGGAGGAAGAGAGGGATGGACACATGGATGTAGATGATGGAAAGGGAAGGCTTTCCTTTCCAGGGTATTGCTGCAGCTGCCACTGTCATAGGAGCGTTAACTCCACTTCAGTGGTAGCAGCCCTGTGCCCAAGCTCCCTATGAGATGGTGCCTTGTTTGCTCCCTCATCACTCTCCACATACATATTGGGCATGAGGCCACAAGGTTACCTGGGGTGGGAGTGGGGAACACGATTCCACTCCCTCCATTCACTCCCTGCAGATACACGCTTAGTGAGGTGCGCTGTTCTCCTTGCCCTAGTTATGCTACTGCTCCAGAAATGCTCATTTGTGTAACATATCATATTGTTCTTTAGGCATCTCTACTGCTCAGAAATAAGTAAAACTGTGGAAAACTATGAAATGTTAGCATTTTGACTTATAAAGCACAAAACCAGAAAGAGCGTATGACACACTATCTGATTTGTGTAAAGCCATGTCTAATACTTGATGATTACTTTGACATTTGCTTGTTAAAAACCTAAAGCCTCTACATTTGGTGGGATTTGTTTGAACAAATCAAGGGGTGTTAAATGGACCAAAATACTGCTGAAAACCTTTAAAGCTTTTTACCTAGATCATACAGTGGTTGCTGGCTCATAATGTTTTCTTGATGAGTACAACTTTAGTTTTCAATATCTTGGCAAGCTATGAGAAGCTTGTGAAAGAAGTTAGATAAACCAGTGCGGCCTAAAAAAGCTTGTTAAAAATGGAGCATTTTAAATGTCTGAATTCAGTTATAAACTGAGCCAGATTCTTGAATAACTATGATTAGTGTCAGGTGTAAAGGCATAATGGAAACAACCACAGATAACATGAATACAAAACTTCAATTTATGCAATACACACAATCCTTATAATACTTTGAATCATTTCAAATGATTACAAAAATATATTTGTCCTCATCACTTCCATAAACATAAGAGAATACACAAGTAAATCAGTATGCTTGCTTAAAATGATGTAAAATGGGTGCAATGGAATGGAAAACTAGATTAAGGAGACCTGTATTCTATATTATCATCTAGTTCTTCACTGTCTTAACTCAGTGTAACCCTTAACTTTAGCACCTATACACTAAGGCTGTATTGAAGTCAATGGAATTACGCAGGCACAAAACCAGCATGGCAGAACAGAGAACTAGGCTCTCAGGATGCCTGTACATGTGCTGCAGGGCTGCTCCAATGTGTTGTAATTACAGCATGTTGGAGCAAACTCTATTAATTGAGCACATAGCTATTAATACAGCTCTCCAGCCAGCCTCCACATCTTGTGTATTAGCGTCTCCATGTTTCAAAATGGTGGCGGGGCTGTTTGAATGAAAGCTCATTCAACGAACTTTAGTTCAAGTGCCCCTACTGCCATTTTGAAGTGTGGGGATGCTAATACATGAGACACTGTGGCGCTTTAATTAGACTGCTCTCAGAGCCAGTCTAATTAAAGTACCTGCCTCCTCCCCCTCTGAGCATGTGTAAAAGTGCCCTCAATGTTTAAAAAACAGGACATTATTATATGTGGCAATTTTAAAAAAATAAAGAATGGGTTGATTCTCCATCACCTATAATTTGTGGAGTTATTCACACTAGTGCACAGAGAGTGTAAAGTGAACACAGAGTGTTATCAAATGATGTTGGTGGTATTCTACACCCACTTTGCACTGGTGCAAGTTATTTCACAAAGTGTAGAGCATAAGTAAATCAGGTCCACATAGATGAAGAAGAAAGGGGTACTGTTGCTTGAAGAAAAACACTGTAGTAAAACTAACTGTTAACAACAGACATGAATTTGAAATGTCTGTGTAAGCATAATGGGTGGAGAAACGTTATTCTTTGGCTATTATAACAAAATTTTGTGTTGCTGAAGGTAATAATAATAAAAATGAGAGAATAATTACTGTTCCCTTTTCATCCTAAAGATCTGCACAATCTTTCAATATACATGGGGTTATGTGCTGCAGAGATGATATGCATAATTAGGCTGGTTCACTCAAACATGGGTCAACCCACTTCACAGGGCCTTTCTTGGAAAGTTTAAAAACCAAGTTGCTGCTATCAAGTTCCCAGTTAATGTATTATGATTTATTTAAATTAAAAACATGGTAAAAATCTGAACTGCCTTCATCCTAGATTTATGTGACATTACGAATTTGTATTTCATAGAATTTCATTTATAATATTTGCAGTTTTTTAAAGCCATTTAACATAATGCAAGTTTTACTTAGCTTTTGTTGTACCCTGCTTTGATTCCTGCTTCATGCAAAGTTGAAAAGGCTAGTGGCTTCAGACCGGATTCCTGTCTCCTATTTGAGATTCTCCTGTGGCTCATGGTTCTACCCAGGGTGACTGCATACATCCCAGTCCCTTACCTGCCTGCTCTTGATCCCCGTCACTAGATACCACTCTTGCTTCCTTGACTTTGTCTGTTCCTAACTCTCTGGATTGTGACCCCTCTAGAGTCAAGCCCTGACTGCCTACATCTCAGTCATACCCCCAACACTGGGATTGGAAAGTGAAACAGAAGCATCCTAAGAGGCTTGAGGGGCACTTCATCAGTTTAAAAACATATTTGTGTATATGTGCATGTGCACTTGCAGGTGCATTAAATGTTGCTTTTTGCTATAAAGGCTTCACTCTTGCTCATAATACACCAAAAGACCTCTTCTACAGATAGATCAGGTATAAACACTGGCACAATCCAGAGTTCCCCTGTAGTCACAGGTTTCACACTCCAGATGTAATATAATGTTTTCCCCAACAATCCAGAGAGCAGAAATCACCAAAAACCATAATTTACGTAGAGGGCCTTTTCTGCAAGAAGTGGATTAAAAGGTGGTGCAGTTTACATTTTCATCACATAGCATCACTTACAGCCCTAAACAGCATGCTATGGAATTCAGTTACATTCTGTCTTGCATCTTTTTAACAAAGAACATGATCTCTAGTTTTCAACTCCTGAATTGTGAAATATATTTTTACCATTAGCAGGAAGATAGGTGAAAAGCTGGTACTGGCTTCTCTTTCGCTTTCCATTGCAGACATAGAAATTGACCTGAACAGGACTGGTTATCCTCTGATTTCGGAAAGGTGGGATCTCCACAACCAATGAATTCTATCAAAACAGACACATGAGAAAATCAGTACATAGCTATGACAGATTTACTGCACATTTATATGTGTGCATCAACATTTGCAAATTTCACTTCTGAGCTCCCAAAGAGGAATATTGTCATGGCATACCCACTGATAGGAAAGCCTGTAGCTTAGATTTCCTTTTGTGATCTTTTTGGTTAGAGGTCCCTGCAGCTCGTTCTAGATCTGTTTTTCTTCACCCATGAGTTTGTTGCAGTCAGAAGCTTGAACATAGGATAAGCAAAGCTGTACCAAAGCTATGGGGTTTGTAGATATTATTTGCCATGGCCTTATACTTCAGGGGTTATTTTCAGGGTGATGAGACTCAGGTTGCACACTACTGGGTGATGCTTGTTAGAAGAGGGTGGCTGAGAAAGCACTACATTCTAAATGTCTGTGCTGCTCTAATGTCCTGATACAAGTACCATGGGATGAACAATTTGGCAAGGATGCCTATAACTGTCCTCTCAGGACTGGCTTTCAAGGGATGAAATGCAGGGTTGGGATTTTAGCAAGGACTGGTAATGTGTCAGTGTACGAGTATAATTCTGACTGATAGTGGTGTATTGTTCCCAGTGCCAAAAACCTGGTATATGCCAAGGTACTCTACATTATGGGCAACTTAAACGTCTCTCCTTAGCACTCAACGAATTATTTTCCTTTCCACATCAGTCATCCAGCTTTTTGTTTTCACCATCCTGAGCATGGCATTGCTAGGTCCTTCACTTGCTCCCCAGACAAAATATTTAAACCCATGTACCCAAAGTCAGTGTTTGGTTAGATTCTTGAAAAAAAAAAAAGCCTGATTTTCAGCAGTATTCAGCATTTCTTTCATTTCCTATTCAGGGATGTCAAGGTGGGTCTTAAGCCAAGATTTGACAGAGGAAAATGTAATAGCCTCATGAGTAAGTTCAAGGGAGGGACTTGCCTATATAAGGGCCAGCCCTGGAAGACAGCCTAGGGACATTTGTGTGAATTTCTAATGACGGGAAAGACATGGCTCTTTTCATTGATGGAACTGGGAAGGTCAGACTCAAGAGTGTTCAAGCTGACAGGAGCTGAGATTCGTGAAGGGCCTCAAATGTGAACACAAAAATGTTAACCTTGGTGCAATGAAATTGCCCCATTCCCTTCAAAAAAGGACTTCCAACCTTGTCTATTTCAGGGGAAGAAAACTGTGTCTTTGAAAGCCCTCTGCAGAAAAAGAGTGCTAGAGAAATGTAGCATTTTTCTTTTCTTTGAAGTTAAAATATTTAGGCATACTTACTGGCTTACACATTTCTTTGTCAGTTTTGGCTTCCATTTCCCACACATGGTGACCATCTAGGAGAAAAAAAAATATCTAGTTCTCTCCTTTAATTTTCCTTCCTTCAAACCTGTGCCCAGTGTTCGAAAGAAGTTACAAAAGCCTCTTTGGATAGTGGGAGGAAGAAAACATAGAAGATAGGTCTGTGGTTGAGTTGTTCATGCTCTGCCCAAGCAAGAAATCATATAAATAACTTGCTGGAAGCCAGGCAATCTCATTTAATTTGTTTATAAGGAAGGGAACATGGGTCAGTGGAGAAGGTACTGGGAAAATAGTAAACAGATTCTGATTGAAAACAGTCCAGTACTAGCTTAGGGATACCATATCACCATTCTATGCCTTGGTCTTCCCACCATTAAAAGGGAGGTATTGCTATTTACCTACTTGTATAAAGTGTTTTGAGTTCTTTTAATCTATAATAAATACAATAAGAGCTAAATAGAAATATTAAAAAGGAGCAGTGTTAGTTAGGAAAGGTCTCAAATTATATTTGTCCTGGAATGTAAATGTTCCATCTTGAAATGTGCAGCTTAAATGAGTTGATTATATTTCTGCTGACTGGATCAAAATGGAAAAGCAGTTTTGTGGGTTACATCACCACAGTGAAGACAGTTATAGCAACTAAGGACCTAGCTCTAGTATGTCTGAGGTCCATACCATAGAACGATGGGGCTGCAATTGCTCCTGTTCTCTTAATTCAGCAGGTTCAAAATGAAATTAATTTTACACCGTGAGTTTCTGGGGTTTTCTTTTGAGAAATACATGGACTGATAAATGCCACTGACAATGAAACAAATGGCCAGTGAAGGTTCTTTCTCCCCCACGGTTTCAAAACTCAGCAGCAGGGAAATGAAAAAAAAAAGATAAAGTGTAAGGTTTTCATATTGTGAGCCTAGTTAAGCTAAAACATGGATAAGTAGCCACAGGCACATAGCTGTCTGATTTTCGCAGCAGGGACACTTGTGGTTTAAGGAGTCCCGCCATACTTAGACATCACTGGAGTGAATGGAAAAATTAAACTTGATGTCATCTCTTTTTTATATTTATTGTAGCATTGGGATATACAAATGCAAATATTAGTTATTTTGAACTTTACCACAGAGACGTTTGCATATTTAAAAAAAAAAGCCTCTGTGCAAGGTACCAGTGAATGCACTTTTTCTTCTCTCTTCACTTTCATGGCCAGGATGGAGGTGACACTTTTAGAACTGTCTGATTTATTAGAAATGCCTGTAAATAATATTTTTGTGTACAGCAGTTCTGCTGTGAAAGGAATGCTGGTGTGGAACTAGGTTTTGGTGATCATTTTTAAGTCTAAAATCATTTCTTTTTAACCAAGAGAAAGACAAACAATGTGAATATCAAAAATCTTCTACCATAACTAATTTGGCATGCTTCTCTGGAAGAAATAATTAATGTACACACCCTTCATTTCTTTCTATGTTTTAAATCATACTACCAAGTAAAAATAAACTAGAAAAAGAATCTCTGCAATAAGTATTGCAGGAGTACGGAGGGAGAAGAGTCAGTTGCACCAGTATTCAAAATCTCTCCAACAGTGTCTTTTAGAATTGCCAGAATTAAAGCTGACTGCTCAGGAGTCCTGAAGATCACTTCACAATTCATCCACCAGATGCTTTTCCAAAATTGTTCATAAAAAATTCTGACCACAGTCCCACCAGCTGGGACTCTTCTTTTCTCAAAAAAAAGAAAAGAAATAATGTGAAACTAAAGTCCAAGTAAGCTTGATCCTGAAGCTATCACAAATTTCAAAGCACTACACATTTTTCAAAGTTATAGTCTGCTCAGGAACTTCTGCATTAGAGATGGTTTTTACCTAGAGAATTCCAGACCAGTAGTTAGCATGTGTTCAGCTTGCCTTTGTAAATGGATTACCAGAACTTCAGGGGTTTTCTTACGTTTAATTTCCACCTTGCAAGATGAACAACCTGATTCAGAATTACCTGGCAATATTTTTAGAAAATTAAAGTGATTTTATCTATAAACTAATCTTTCAATTACCTTAGGCAGCGCTGCCTTTATGAGCTTTTGAAATTTTTATGATGACAAAGAGTGAGTTTGATCAGAAACTTTTAAAATGTTCTAATCTAAACTATTATGAAAAAAACACTCCAGAGCTGTGTTTAGTCTTTGGGTATCAACTAGATGCTAATATGAGCAATAGTTTTTGCTCCAGTAAGAAAGCCTCTTGAGAATGTCCAGACCATTGCTGCTTAAATGATGAGGGGGGAGGGAACAGACGACTCATTAACAGTTAGTGACATTTCATTTAACAAAAACATAAGGAGGAGAAGTTGTTATGAAGCAGAGACAAAAAAAAAAGTAGACAATTCCTCATATTACGTCTGGTGAACCAAGAGGGAAATCTCAACGCCCACGGACTGGGACCAACTCCAGGAGGGAAACCTTAGACCACTACGTCAACCTCTTACAGTAAACATGTTTTGCAGGTTTATATAGTTCAGCTGAAATTTTAAAAAAAACTAAAAAAAAAGGAATGGAACAATTTGTGGGGGCTCAAAGCATTAAGAAAATCTGCCTACGTTGGAGAAAAGTATTTTTCTTCTCGTGCCACATATGCCCAGAATCCTACCAAGTATGTGGGACACCATCCCTTGTCAGAATGCGCCTGAGGAGTGAGGGCCGATAAACCACAAAAGTTTCCATTGTAAGTCTGCCACATCTGCATTAGCCTGGTTGACTCAGAGCCCAAGGCAACTCCCTGCCTGGCAAAGGGCCAACAAAAGTACACCAGAGCAATTTATACCTTTCCAAAATGCAAATAATTCAAATTACAGACATAACACAAAGCTGAAGCAGACACATTTTAGGCATTCCCGTTAAAGTTTACTCTCTGAAATTACCGTACCCAAATGGGCAGTTGTTATATGAGAGAGAGAGAGAGAGAGAGAGAGAGAGAGAGAGAGAGAGAGAGGGAAGGAGAAAGGGAAAGAAAGCATTCCCAAGGGATAGTTGATTTTTTTTATTTGCTTTTACAAACTAATAATAATAATAATAAATCCCCTCTCCAGATCAAGTTCCTGACATCAGCCAGAGTGTTTGCTAACATTTTCTTTTGGTATATTGAAAAAATAGATTTATGTTACATCCCTCTCTGAAGCTGACATTTTGCTTTTCTTTCTAATTAGGGAAGAAGTACATCAGGTTTGTTTTTTTTATTCTGTTTTGCTTCTGTTGCTTCAATATAGAACATAAGGGGAGAATCCCACTGAAATCACAGTGGTTGAAATCCTTGCTCTATTGAAATCAGTGTGAGGTTTGCCACTGATTCCAGTGGGACCAGGATTTCACCCTGGGATGTTATAAGGCAAAGGTCTGCCTATACTCAGTATTGTGTTTGTTGTCAGTGACAGGTGGTGATCAGTGTTGTTTTCAACAGAGACACAGGATTTTGTCAGGAAGTCTGACATTTAAAGATTGATAACTGTGATGTTCCCTTATTTACAGCATTTTTATTCTGAGTGCAATTCGTCAGGTTCTGCTTTATCATTTTTTCAGTCCAAAATGTTAAACACCTGGAGTTAGTAAGGATGAAAAAAGCACACACCTACTTCATCAGTATGGGTGGATTTTGAACTTTTCAAAATATAAACCTGCATTTCTAAAACGGAACAGCTTAACGGTGAATGGGTCTTTGTAGTTCACTCTTATCAAGTGCTCACGGCAGAGTTAAAAGGAAACTGTGCTCAAGTCCAGAAGTAAAAATATTCTAATTCATTAGGGAATTCCCTGCAGTATGAGTCACAGAAACGGCTTCCCCACCACACCCAACTACAGAGATTTCCACATGAAAAAGGCACTGTAGGCCTGTTTTAACACAGAAGCAGCATTGAGAAATACTTGCATAAATGCAACAATATCAGTTATTCGCATATATTGTTGTGGATTGTTAAGCTTGACTTTTTTTCCCTTAAGGATGTAGGAAACAGATTAGAGACAGGTATCCAGGTAAAAGATTTTTCCAACTTTTCTCTGAGACTAGTCTGCACAAAATGGACTGTTCCACAAAGGAAACTTTACCATACCTTTTGCTCTTCTGTGAAATATGAATTTTCACTTCTACCTAGGAGAACTTTTACAATCTTTACAATCTCCTTTGCCAATGAAGGCTGCCTGTGCCTGAAAGCTTGCAAATAAAGAATTATTTTGCAAATATCTAGTTGGTCTAATAAAAGATATCACCTCTGCCATGAGTTTTGATTCCTTTTATCTTAGAGACAGAGGATTGTCAAATAAATATTCCTCTGTCTTCTGACCTAGTGGTGTGTGTCAGGACTTACTTTTTAGAGGTTTCTAGGATTGCATTTCCACACATCAAAGAAGTATTGCTGAGTAGCCTACAAGTTTATGCAGCTCATACTGGTAGCTTAGCTTGCATTACAGTTTTACAAGTACACAAAAATTAAAAGGAAGAACAAGGTAAAAAAATCAAAAAAGAACTAAGACCCAGAAAGTCAACAACTGTTCCTTGCAATCACTTAAATCTCACTTCTGTGAAACAGATGTGATAGGAGAGTTCAATTATTTTGCTTTCTTTAAATAGGTTAAAAATACTCCAACTTCTTCAACAGGTACATTATAACTCAAAGACACAAAGATGAGCAGGTATTATTTAGGACTTCACTACTAACGTATCTTGGACATGTTGCCCTCTTCCAGTTTGGCCTGAGGCAGAATTTGGCTGAATTGGTAAACTGGGCCACATTAATGTTAATGTTTTCAAACAAAAGTGCAGCACACATTTTTCAAACGGAACCCCTTATTTGATTAACTTGTTGGAAGGTATTTCCAAATAGTGATGTTTGAACATCACAGTTTATCTTAAAATATAGGAGATTCAGAGCAGCATATGCACAATGAGGGAACAAACTGAGACAGTTTTCAAGCAGAATGTAGAACAAACATATCTTATGATTTTCAGGTGCACTACATGCATAACCAACTGGGTTACTCAGTCAAGTAAGCTAACATGCAT